GATCTATGTGTTCTTCTTTTTGTGCGATTAGATGCTTCACAGTGTTTTTCTTTTTCCTCCTTTTCTGGATCTTTTGGAATCTAATTTGTGTGGTTTCTATTCTTCACCACAGTACTTACTTTTCGTGAAGTGTTTACTTTTTTTCCCTTTCTATTTTATAATTTCGGCAATAAGAGGTGATTCTATCTATACTGCTTCTCTGGTTCAGAAATCAGAATATTTCTTGATTATGGAATTTCCTTAAATAGTCTTAAACAATATGCCATCCAAGTAAACTCACTTGTTGAACATTACCAGAACAGTGTAAAATTCCAAGATTAAAAATGTTTGATTCTTTCCTGTTTCTTCTGAAATTTAAATTCGCAATCCTTGAAATGTTGCAGGCTCTTTTTTTTGTCCATGTTATTCAACTAATATTATTTTTTTTCTCAGTCCCATTAAAAGAGTCATATGTTTTGTGTGCACTTATAGGAAATCATCAATTATAGCTCGATCTTAAATTTGTTTGATAGTTTTACTAAATCTAGCATATTTAACTCGTTTGACATGCATTTTTAAGATCAAGAAATGTTAGATACAATGAAAATTAGTAATTTTTTCAAATGTGATTCTTTTTTGGCAATAAGAAGTCTCCAAATCGGATGACTCTTATTTGGGACGGGGAGAGTATATATTTTTCTTTCACGCAGGGTGCTTAGCTGGGCATGTTCTTAGAACAAAGATTGTCACTTGGAATTATCACCGAGTGTAAAAATCATTTATTCAAGAAATGTTCGTGTTTGCGCTTCCCATTGCAAACACTGTAGTTTGCTCCTGGTGAAGCATACACTGTATCAGATTCTTCTTCTTCACCTCTCTCACTCTCGCAATGCCATTGCAGGAAAGAAACATATGATGCAGTGTAGAAGCGATAATGGAGGACACTACGACCCAAGATATCTTAATGCGGGCATTATTGGCCTTCCAGGCCCGATAACACAGGGTGATATCACACAGAGCGGCGGGCTTAGGTTTAATCTGTGGTTTCCTCCATCTAATATGGACTACTACAGTGTAGGTTATCAGAAGGAAATATATAGGCAGATGATGCTAAAGCATGAAGCAACATTCAAATACCAGGTAATAAGCCCTTTTAGGCAGCCTCTCTGCTTTCAGGTAGCTAGGGGTAAGGTCTTCACGCGCACACACACACACACCTACCCAGACCATACTTTTATGGCATTCTACTAGGTTTTTTGTTTGTTTGTCGTTGTTATTATTGTTGTTGTTGTTATTGTTTTGTAGTCCTTATAAATTTGGATTTCCATTTTCTGATGTGGAGTAATAAGTAATAACATTTCTTTAATTTCAAAATTTTCTTGATTATTAGGTCTATGAGCTACATCGCGTGTATGGAAGACAAAAGGAGTTAATGGAGGAGATTAGACAGAGAGAAATGTTGACTCAAAATTTAAAAGCATATCCTTTTTCTGGAATAAGGTCCGACTACTTCTTGCCTTCTGGTGGTAATCACACCACCCAAACTAAGCCATATGCACCAAGTGCTCATTTGTTCCAAGAACCTTACTTTCCACAATCACATCCCGGCCATTATCCGGCAAAAGATGTTACTATAAGAGAACACGAACTGTCAGCATCTCACATCAACACGCCACGGAAGAGAAAGTTGGATCTTGAACTTCCTGCTTATGAGTACATTGATAGTGATGATGAAAATGCCTTTCAGGAACCTCAGATGCCCAAACCAGAACAGCCATTTGATTCAAAAATTGAATCTTTCTCCTCTGGAAATGCCAAAGTCTTGTTTGACTTGAATTCACCTGCGCAAGCAGATGAATCAGGTCCTGGGCAAGATCCTCCTGCAAGCTTTACAGTTTCAGATAGAAGAAATCTACCAAAAGTTGTTGACTTGAATATACTTCCTGCGGACTTTTCATCAAATGAAGAATGTTCGGGCCATGCCCATATTTGTAGTGAAAAGTCCATGATCAACTTGAATTCCTGTTTAGACGAAGAGCGTATATTACTCTTACCGCCCCCTTCTGATCAAAGTGACACAAATGATCCTGCAAGACAAAGTGGTTTAGAAGCACCTGTTAGCCCGGAAAATAAAGAGTGTTCTCCACCCAGAGGAGATTCTGAGGATAACCAACTTGAAGCTGGGATCCAGGAAGAAGAAGAAGAAGAAGACAGGGTCGCAGCTGATACACTATTTGTTCTTGCGTCATCCGGAAACCAAAGGTGCTCAGCGACGACAGCCACTGAGCAAAACGAAACCTTCAATGAAAGCCTTGTTTGGTTTGCAGGAATTGCAACTTCGACTAGAAGTGGTGGCGGGAGAGGGAGGAGGAATAGGAGTTCCAAGGCATTGGAGAGGACAGTGTGCTTGGCTGTGTGGGGGAAGACAAAAAAGCGCAAAATCGCCCGAGTTGCTCGATCTGTTGTTTATTCTCATCTTTAGCTCAATTCTTTCGAAAATAGTTGAATTTCCCAACAAATTATATTCCCTATCTCATTATCCTTAATTATTGTGATTGGATGAACGATCAAAGGAGGTGGGGAAATTGTGAAAAGCCAAGTTAGAGTGAAGAAAAATGTTATGATGTGTTTGCTACTTTAACCAGAAGGAAAGCTTTCTTTTTCTCTTCTCTATTTTTTTTACTTACTCCATCCTAAAGTTATGTTACACTTTGGTCATACATATAGCCAATGTAGGTAAATTATAACCCAGACCTAAGGTCCATATAAGAAATATGGATCTTTTGATAAAAATAATACAGAGTAAAATATTATACTCCGTAGTATAAAGATATGCATTTGTTTCTTTAGTTTTATTATATTATTTTGCTTTAACTAGGATATCCATGGTGGATCTTAGGTCCAATAGAAAAGCATCCGGCTACATAAAGAAAATTTAACATTATGAAAATAGAAAAAAATTGAGCATGTAATTTGTTGGATCAAGCATATCCTTGGTGGCACTTAGTAGGAAGAAACATTATGTGGAGTGTGCATGGACAAATTTTAGTGATGTTATATGATGACTTGGAACATGCACTATCATAAAGCAAAACTTTAGGGCCCATTACCATTGGTATGAATAATACTTGACATAGTAAACTTTAACATCACACATTTGACATTAGTGTTAGGCATGAAAGTTGTACACATATGATATAGATCTTGAATAAACATGAATTATTATTTCAAAAGATTCAACCAAAGTAGCTATGATGAAGGGAAATATCATACCTAACATAATGGAGACTATTTTTTTCACACAAAATGACTCTCAGATTTAAATACCAAATAAATCAAAATTTTGTATGATAAACTTAAAGCATTAAAAATAAAAATGATCGAAATTTCATGGTTTAAGATTTTTTACTATCGGTGTTCTAAGGCTTTCCGAGGATTGAAAATTTTGATTTGGCTACCACCACTACCATTGCTAGACCGTCAAAACTCATAAAATCATACATTAATTCTTCAATTCTTTAATTTGCCCGCTCATCATGTTTAACTTTTTTTTTAATTTGGAGAATTTCAAATTCAATATTATTGATTTGCTCCAAATGCATCCCACTTTATCTGGTGTAATAAAAACCTAACATGTGAATAAGAATAACCTTTGCTACAAAATCGCTTCTCCTCACGTATGCATTTCCTAAAACACCACACACGTTATTATACTTATATGTAGTATTATACATGGATTATCTTTTTATATAACCAAATAAAACACACATTGTACAATTACTCCCAATATTAAAACACATTTCCGAGCAATCAACTAATTAATTGTCTCAACATATTTGTTAACATCTTTCTACTCATATAAGGTAAAGATAACAAGATTTTTTTTTGGAAAAAGAATGAAATTAAAGAATGTCTCTTTTATTTGATTTCTTATTTTGACATAGTGCATTTGATGAAGGGAATGCTTAATGCCAATATGTTACGATCATTTTTGGGTTTCTTGCTTTCAGGAGGACAATGTTGAATCTTAGCATTGTTATAATATTGATATTTTCCAAATTGGATCGGCTCATTGATCGGATGATTTAGAGATAAAATCTACGCACAAACCCTTTCCCAGACCCTATTTGCGACAACTGCAATGACAAAAGATGTTTTTGATGACATTGGGGCAAACCTGGAGAGAACCAAGCCGAGACCCGGTTCTAGGAGAAGTAGTGATTCAAAGGGGTACACAAACACCAAACTCGGGAGGGTCTTGCCACGGTATCTCTCCCCACCATTGTCGTCGTGTCACGATAGCTGCAAGTCCAAAGTTCCCAAATGCAACGAAAATCAACATGGGACTGCACCAAAGACTAATAGGAGGCATTCTCTTCCTGCAACAAAACTGCAGAAAACTCCCGTTGATGAAAACAAGAAACAGAGCACTTCTTCCCGAGTAAACAGACGAGTTTTAGCATCTGCAGATAATCTAGATAGCACAAAGACAAAGGGGACATCACGAGCAAGACAGAAAGGCATTCCATGGCAGGCAAAACAAGATGAAGAAAATGTTCCGGAGAAGACATTATATGTGGTTGAGGAGCACAGAGAGGACTCCACCAACCATAAACTTTCACCAGCACAGGGGGAGATTCTAGAAGGACCATTGCATAAGGACGATGCTGGGGAAAGTCAAAGGAAAGTCGTTCAATACACATTTGTAGATGGGGAGGAAGATTCTGTGAAGCTGTTGTCAGGTGAAAGAATGGCTGAAAACAAGACTGAAGTTGCAGAGAAAGACGTCAAGACTTTGATTGGTGTTTTTGAAAGCGTGATTGCTCTCCGAGATGGCACTTCGATCTTCACCAGTAACATTGAGATGGTCGGAGACAATTCACATTCTATATAGTAAATACACAAGTACAAGATGACACTTCATCATCATCAAGTTGTTGTAAAGAAAGGTATTGTTACATAAAAAAAGTGTTTCTTGACAATGAAATGAAATCAAAGAAGAGTTTGTAATTCTTGAGAACAACATTGGAGCCTTTTGATTTGTGAATTAAATAAAGAAACCATTCTCATTACAGGACACATAGCATAAGAAATCCCAAATATGGTTGATCTAACCCTCAGAATGTCTATTTACTTTCCAAGCAACTTGCGGGCTCGCCTGTTGGCCCCTCTCATTCTGAGATCAAGCGCTGCAACATCGTCCTCAAGATGATGCATGTCTTGGCTTTGCCTGAAAATACGGGAAACCATTCCGTAACAATGACCAAGTAATCATTTCCACTAGAATAATAATAATAATAATATTATTATTATTGGTTAAGAAGTGAAAAGAACCTTTCAATCTCAGAGCCCATGTCGATTGCCATGTCCTTGAGTTCCCCCAAGATATTACTAAGATCTGAAAGAGCATCATCTTGTTTTGCCTTCTCAACCTGTTTGAGAATCAAAATAAGCTCTAACCTTCTCATATATGCTACTTCATGTATGCATCTAAAATCAGTTAACATTACGAGAACAAATTTCAAGCACAAGAATTTCAAGAATTTTGTCAACAAAAAATCATTTAATGATTCCTTAATGGCTTAATCTGCATAATTTCCTCATGAAGGACAACCTCAACTTTTTGTTGTGCATTGGTTGGTTCAGAGAGTGGAGTTGGTTCGCCCGCTGGCATCTTTGGTGCAGAACTCAGTCCCAATTTCCCCCGTCGCTCAAAGTGGTTAGCCATCCTTTGAACCGGTTCATCTACAACATTATAAATAGCCTAAAGAGTTGGACATTCAAGTGCATAATCCATGTAGCTTCTACACCCAAAAGCAACCAATCTTTCCCTGCCTTTACAATCACATAACATTTAACTCACCTCCTGTATTCATAGGGCCTGAAATCGGACGAGTCTTTTTTGGCTTCCATTTCCTTGAAAATATCCCTCCAAGACTCCCCAAAAGTTTTTCACCCTGAAAGTTTCCCAATAGTGAAAATCACACATTTTACCCATAAAAGTCACAAAGAAAGCACCTTTTTATCAAAGCATACCTTGCTAAGATCATGGTCAATGCCAACAGCAGTCACATGGGTCTTGCTAATTTGCTCGCCCTGGTGATGTAAGGCGACCAAAGTCCTAGTGGCATTCTCCCTTATGTCTTCTGCAATCTTTAAACAACCATTGATTGATTTGGTTACCTTCTCGGATTCGTAGACTGCATGATTTTCCAATTCTTCTACAGACTGACTCTCTAATCCTCCTAAACAAGTTCTTGATTGCCCAAGATTCTGCTTCTCATCTTGTTCATCATCAGAATCAAAAGGATTTGAAGACATAAATGGGCTTTTAGCATTTATACGAAAAAGGTTTTTCTTGACATCATACATTTTTGAGTTTCAAGGAATGCAGATCAGATTGGTCCGTCACTATCAGAAAGAGCCGCTGCAGAAGTTTTAAAAATTTCAAAGACTTCAGAAAGATTTATAGTAAAAACAAATATGCCAGAAAGATTGATTTTTTAAAAAGTTGGAGTGAAAAAACGGGAAAAGGTAAAATTAAGAACAAAAAAAAGAATCTTCAAAACCATTCCTCGGTGGGTGAAATCCAAGAAACCAAAAATGTTGAATTTTTTATGGACCCAGAAAAGAATTGAAACGCTTTGTTCAAAGATTACTCTGTATTAATTAAAATAATTATACGAGAAATTCTGGAGAACTTCTATGGGCTACTCTCTCAACAATCTGAGATAATCTAGAGAAGGTGTTTGGTACGACCGTCTCTTTGTTGGAACAAAAAATAAAGAAAAGAAAGAACACAAAGATGATTTAGCGTTTGGGGAGATCGTTTCTAAACTAGTCCACGTGTAAACTTATGAGTCAAGAAGTTCCATAAATAACGGATTTGACAAGAATACATTTGGCTAAAAAATTTAATAATGTCTTGAAATTGTTGAATTCACGGTATATAAAGTTGTTGATATAATTCAATTATGAAAATAATATTCTAAGTTTAGTTTTTTAATCAATCTAAAGAATATGTGTGTGTGAGACTAAAATGAATCTTTCTCAATTTCGATCTCCATTAAAAATAAAAAAATAGGGAGTAAAAAGTCTTTAAAAGTTATTGAAAATACTATTCTTTTTAACACACATTATTATTATGTTTCGAACCATACAATAATCACTTTTATGTCTTTTATCACTTCAACATTTTTTTTAAAAAAAATTATGTATCCAATCAAAATGGACTTTTATTGGGTTCGAGAAGGAAGAACTACAACATACCCACCAAAAGCTCACAAAATTAATTTTTTTAATCAATATAAAGAATATGTAGGGACAACTAAAAGGATGATCTTTTAATTTTTGATACATTTCATTATTGACCAAAGCATCTAGTTTTTGATACATAAGATAAAGTTGATGAATCAAATACAACAAAAGCATACATTTTTCTCAAAACTGGCATTTAATATTAGTAATACAAGCACTCCCTTGGGTTGAAGGTGGCTGACCAGTAAGACAAGATTCCTCTAGTGTTTTTCACTCTTCAGGGGCATATCTGGAAACGGTGATAGCTTTTCCGGTCTCCTCTTCATTGACGAAGGACTTGTTCCGTTCTTCTTCAAGCTTCAATTCATTATATACAAAAAAAAGATCATCAAATATAGAAAACTTATCCGAATCGGCACACCTTTGGTAAGAATGGAAAAAGATTGATACCTGAGCCTCCAGCTTTGAGATTCTCTGCAAAGACAACTGTTCTATGCACGCACGCCGTTTTTGCTCTTCTTCAAGCAAGCCAGTCATATGGTATCTTAACTCTGCCATTTCCTGAGCTAAATCCTCTGCTTCTTCTTTCCCCTTTAACCTTTCCAATTTCAGGTCCTCCTGCGTCCATCCATTTTATGACTTAAAATGCAGTACAAATTTTAGTAGTAAATACAATAAAGAGCTGATCCAATAACGTAGTAACGTACCTTAAGCTTCTCCACAAGAGATTCGTAGTTTTGTATTTCGTTAGACTGTGTGTTTGTTTCGTCCTTGAAATTGACACCGGATGCCCCGAGAATAGTGAGCTTGGTAAGGAGAGGACCCAAAATGTCTCCACAAGAGCTTTGGTTGGTTGGAAAGGGATGTAAAGAATCAAAGTGAGTTTGGTAAGCACACATACTGACACTGACAACTAGACCCAGAGCATTGAAAAAGAACTCTCACTCCAAAGAGTCTTGATATACACTACATGTAAAAGTATTTTTACAGTGACTAATTTGCATCATTGGATAACATGGAAGACATTGAGGTCTAAATTCAAATAAGATTTTCACATCTCATATTCTGGGTTTTACGTTCTTATTATATGGTCATGTAAGTTGAAAAAAAACATACCTCACATTGTTGTCTAGTACAGCTTCATGCCCAGTAACTATCCATTCTGGACATTGCTCTTCCACAATTTGGCAAAATACTTTAACATTTTTTTCACAGTTTTGAAGTTGTTCCTTTAGAATACCATTCTCCCTTTCTAAATGTTCAATATAGCCCTCGGCATCCCGGGCGTAAAGCTCGGTATCATGAAACAATGCATTTTTTTGAGATTTTTTTAGTTCAACAATATGCTGCTCCAGTGTTGTCATATCAAGCTTTAGGCTCTCAATTTCACATTGATATTCTAATCCCACGGATGAAATAGACTCCTCGAGTTTCTCTATTAACAAAGTTGAACTCTGAAGCTCTAACTCCTTGTTTTCCAATTCCTCCTTTAATCGTCCCATTTCTTCCTCTAAAATTTCCTTGTCTTTGAGTTTTAACTGAAGACAACAAACCTCCTCCCCAAGCATAATCAATTCTGAGTTGCTTAAGGTGAGCTGATCCTGCAGGTAATCTATTGCAAGAGTTTTGTTAGAAATGTTAATCTCAACCTAATGGAAAGGCGACCAAAAAAAAATCATCTTTTTACATGACAAGGGAAACTGATCATGCAGTCTAAGCCCTCTTTTGCACATAACTTTAAACATACATAGTTAGTACTCCGTATTATACATAAGAACACCATGAAATCTTTTTAATGTGGAATGCTTCAATTTCATTCTTTTTTTAGAAAAAAACATGGAATATACCATAGCTTTTCCATAAACAAAGCAAGTGATTTCGTGCTTTGTTTCATTATTGGTTTAGGATCCAATACCTATTTCTTGTGAGCAGTTATCCAACTCCCTTTCCAACTCCTGGATCCGTTTCCTGTCCTCTAAGTGGGCACAAGTTAATGTTTGTACATGCTCTTCTAATTTCTGTGAGGAAGGAAATTTCACGTGAGATACTTTTAACAAGAAATATAATATCTATGGGTTTATGGTCATTTCAGCAACGAAAGTCGTTTACAAAGAGTACAAAATGATTATTAATTAACATCAGAGACAAGTTACATGTTTCACCCCCCCCCACACCCCAGCCACCGACCGAAATGATGCAGTGTGGATCCTTTCACATCCAATCGATCTAAGGTATACCATATAAATCAACTGGGTTTCTAAATCTTTCACATATCTAAATAAAACCAACCATGTCTATAAAAATCATCTCTGCAAAGTCAAAATTACAGAAGACAAGAAGATAGGAATAACTTACTCTGATAAGCTCTAAGCTCTGCTTTTGTGAGTCCCTCAATGATTCCCTTTCCTTCCTGAGCTACATGATATGATTTTTTGAAGTGTATTAGTACGCAAGCTGGGGAAAAAATTTGGACACGTGCAATGTAAAACACCATTTGTTAAACGCGGCATATGAAAATTGTGTTTCTAGACATGTGTGGGTGATTAACTGATACTCCCTCCGTCTAGATTTAGTTGTCCACTTTCGTCTTTTTGTTTGTCAGTAATTAACTTGTCCACTTTCCATATTCAATAAAGAAATTATGATGAACTCTCTAACATATACTTCAAGAGATAGGGTGTGAACAATGCAGTGTTCAACACTGTTGACATGAATGAGTGATAAACAATTTGAAGGACTTAGTATTAGACATTCTAAACTCATTTCTTAAAAATGACATTTTTAGAAAGTACACAACTAAATCCAGACCGAGGGAGTAAAACATTAACGAGCATATTTTTGGAGATAGCCTACCCCAAACTAAGCTAATTCAAACACAACGATAGACGAAATTTTAGGAGTAAATTAGTGGAAACCACTTTTCCAAGAAGCTTCAACGATAGATCTTTTGAAATGTTTCAAGCAATTGCATACCAGATTGCCCCGATATATTTAGCAAAAGCCAAGACCTGGATGAACAAATTCAAAGTTGAATAATGTACCTCTCTGCATCTTGTTCTTATCTCTAACAATTCCTTTATGTCAAAAGTGTGGTCACCACTGCTACTCGTGGACTGCCCAGACATCTAAACACAATCCAAAATTGAAGAAGAAACATACACACATTAAGGGATAGATATATCCAAGAAAAAACTGCACAAACATGATTTGGTCACTCTAAAACAAAGAGGAAATGCTAAATAACTAATGCATTTGAAATTAAGCCCACTAAAAGTTTCATCTTTGCAGAAAACCTAAATTCAAGAACAGCTAAACTCAAACATTTCATTACAAAAATAGCATAAAAAGTGACAGTGGAGAACATGCCGCTTCCTAGGGTTTCAACATTTCAACGATTCAAATCTCCCTCCTCGCTCTCTCTACCCAAGTTGGTCAAACGAGATTAGAGGAACTGGGTTCGGGAAAATGCTCCATGCCAATCAGAACCCGACCCCAATCTGGCAGCCCAAAACTGTGTCACACGTCAATCTACAGAGTACAAACGTACGAAATACTCCGGGTGTTGAAGTGGGTTATTCAATAAGAAGCGGTTCTTAGCATCGATCAATCCATCCCTCGTCTACAACACCGCCGCAAAGGGTTTATAGAAATTTATTCTTTTCTTGTGGATGGATTGATCGATGCTAATAAAGTTAGATACTGGTTTGGAGCGCAGCTGCGCAGGTGAGTGAGTGACTAAACTGAGCCCATTTCTTAGGAAAGATCCGAAGACTATTTCTTTTATTCTTTTTAAAAATTGGTTCTTTGTAATATTTCTCTTTCTAGTCAAATTCATATTGATTTAAAATTACCGCTCTTAAAAACCATAATAAGTTTTGAGCTTTACACTATTTTTGGTTCAAGAAATTTGGAAAGAAAAGAAAGGTAAATAAATTTCTCTCATTTTCCTCATTAAAATGAGAGATATTTGTTTTTTTCTCTCTTTTTAGTACTCCGTAATATTTGTCTTTTCATTTTTTTCTTTCTCCTTTTCTTTTTTTTTCTCTCTAACAAAACAAGAAAAATTATTTTTCATCTTAATTTCTTTTCTTTTTCCTTTCAAATTCTTTGAACCAAACATATTGTTAGAATTACTAAGAAATTTTCTGTGAATCCAGTACCCTTTTTTTACTAGAAAAACTAATATTTTGTCTTATCCCATTGAGTGGTTTGTTTGTTCACTTTCTTTTCTTGTTAACTTTAATATAATAAATTAATTTTTTATTGCAAGAAAAATTCATCACAAGTAAAATTAGAAGTTAAATAAGTGGCCAAAGTTGTAACCCGTATAAGATTTAGATGTTCTAGACTTCTGTTGATTTCTTGATTCTTGTTTCATTCTTCACATTGAGTTTCTTATTTTCTCTCATTCACCATATCATTTTATCACTAAACCAAAAGTGAACTCATGACTGCACTTACCATGAACCACTTGGGTCACCTATGAAGTGTGTGAAATTTGTTGGTCATATTTCTCTATGGTAGGTGACTAAACCATCCAAGCTCACTTCTACTCTTCTTTTTCAACAATCCAAGCTCATGTCTATGATCTTTCTGACTTCACTACCAAATATCATCATTTTCCCTTTGCTGCCAAGATAAAGCAATTACATCATACTAAAAGTAAAGTTAAATCCATCCCCTTCAAGTCTAGTTCAACCTGGACATTATGAAGTGTGAATACCAATTAAATTACAACAAAGACAAAAAATTCAAGAAAATCACTCCCTAATTTGCCAAGACCCTTTTTTTCTTCTGTTGCAGTACCCAAACATTACATCTTAAAACCAATTATTGTACAGAAGTTGGAACAACCAAATTGTTGCTCAGGAGCTTCATGAAGACTTAGAAAGAAGTAGGACCCACAATCTGTTCATGGCTGTAGTTTCTACCCATCATCAACCATGCTTGGAACCCAATGATCTGTTGCCTTTCCCTATCTTCTTCTTCTTCTTCTTCAACTGGAGCAGGAAAGTTGAGATCAAGAAAATCTCTGGTCTCTGGTTTTTGCATCTCGGGCTGTTGTTGCACATCCGTTTTCGTAGCCCCAGCTCTGAAATGGGATCTCTTGTGACCTCCCAATGCTTGGCCCGATCCGAAAATCTTGAAACAAATCGGGCATTCGTGACGATCATCATCCGCCCTCATCTTCTTTGAACTCTCAACCTTCTCTGACATTGCTTGGCTTGGAGGGGCAAAACCGTCATTGTTGTAATTCTTCTTGTGGCTTGCTCTGTGCCCACCCAGTGCTTGGTATGAGTGGAAAGTCTTGCTGCAGGTTGAACACTGGAATTTCGTTTCATTTGTTGGAATTTCAGAGCCTCTGGGTTTCTGTTTCTTCAATTGACTCCCAAGAACCTCAGGATTATTGTCATTGTTAGAAAGCATGATCAAGCTCATAGCGACCTCTTCTTGATCATAATCACTGTTAGCAGAAGTTAAGGTAGAGGAGTAGTTATCAACCTCGTACCTCGTCATCATCATGGCTCGTCTCCTCGATCTCTTCTTTCTCTTTGGAAAGCCTGCGAATCCCTTCACTGTTTTCTGGGAATGGCATTTCATGTGGCCAAACAGAGCCTTCCAAGACTCGAACTTTTTCCCACATTCCTTGCAGAGCTTCTTCTGAAGAAGCAAAGCATCTTCTTCATCTTCTTCGTGTTTTTCTTCAGCATTTGACTCCGCAGCTGCAACCTTGAAACTCTTATTCAGATTCTCTCCGATGAGGACATGGCTATGAGTTCTTTCGCCGGATTCCGGCGGGTTGGCGATAAGGTGATTATGAGAACTCACGTGACCCCCCAAGGAGAAATAACGGTTTATCTTCAGAACCGTTTCTTGATCTTCTTGTTCCATCATCTGTGTCTGAAATTCGAGTCCGAATTGGGTGAAATCGGATGAAAAAATCAGAAATCTGCTCTGGGTGATCAACAAAATCGAATCTTGATCGATGAACAGATCAGAGAATTAAGCAGATAACCGAGGTGAATTGGTTTGCTGAGAGCAAGATCTAATACTAGCTACTGGTTAGTAGCTTAGTGGTAGCACAAGGGTAGTTGAAGCTTGAAGAAAGACTTAACTCTCTCTCTCTCTCTCTCTACAATGGTGATGACATCACTTTCTCTCTCTAATTCCCGCACTGATTTGGTGGAGAAATCCATGCATAGAAGCAAAGATAAGAAGAAGAAGAAAGAAAGAAATTAAAGAAAGAAATAAAGAAAGAAAGAAATTAAAGAAAGAAATAAAGAAAGAAAGAGAAGTGAAAGGGAAGTTGGGGGGAGGAGTACGTAGGACGTGTAGTCATCATATCCCATCCAACGGCTCAGATTTACCCGCCAAATTTAGGGGTATTGTTGGGCTGCTCCCTCCGTCCCAAATTAAACTTCTCGTATAAGAATAAATAATACAGAGTATTTTTCTATTCAGATTTACCACATATAACTTTGGATATTTTAAAAAAATAGAAAAAAGTAAGATGTTTAGTTTGAGATGCATAAGAATATTACTTTCCTCCTCTAAAATTAATATTACTTTCATTCCAAAAAAACTTAAATTTGTCTTTTCTGTTAAACTTTAACATTATGTTTGGTTCAATGATTTTGAAAGAAAAAAGAAAAGAAAATGTCTTTTTCTCATTTTCCTCACCAGAATGAATGAAATTTAGTTTTCTCTCCTCTTAGTACATTTTGTCTTTTCCTTTTCTTTCCATTTTTTTTCCTCTTTTCTTCTCCAACCAAACACGAAAAATTTTTTTCCCTCTCATTTTCTTTTCTTTTCCCTTTAAAATTCCTTGAACCAAACATAGTGTAAGAGTTTGAGTATGATAAGTGATACAGAGTATTTAGTTACGGAGAATAATTTATACTTCTTATTTGACATATTAATTTAGTTCATTTTAAAATATATTTTTGATAGAGAATAATGTTTATTTATGTACAATTATATGTATTCATGGTCAAAATGTCCGATTGATGAGAATTAAAGGTTAATTTAAACAAAATTTGAGATGGAGAGAGTAATGCTTTAAAAATTTAAAAAGTACAATTAAAATTTGTCTAAAGAAAGAGAAAATTTTGTTAATCAGAACTTCCTTTGTAGAAAGTAAAAAATTGTAAATTTTTTTTCCTAACATTTTGAAAAGAAAGAAAAAATATAAATTTTCTTTTAAGAAGAAAGTAAGGTTATTGTTAGCTTAGATAAAAAAAAGAGTATTTAGTCCTCTATTATCAAATATTACCAAAGTGGTCCTTCTTTTATGGGTACCTTTCCACAAATAGTCTTTTTTTGATCTTCTATCATATTGGTGTTAATTCGAGGGTTGAAAATGTAATTTCACAATGATAATATATCTTTTTTGTCATACACAATTCCAAAGGTTATTCCGTTTGCATCGTTTGTGAATTACAGTCTCTTTTTACGACAACTATAGTCTACAAATGTGATCTTTCGTCAAAATCCTAGCTCACAACCATAGTCATTATTTTTGTGTTATCCGCTTAACCAATATCAGAACACGTCACTAGACATAATATTGACGTCAAATTATACTTTTAGCCTTTAAATTAACACCAACACGGCAGAAGATCAAAAAAGGACCATTTGTGGAAAGATACCCTTAAAAGGACTACGGTGGTAATATTTGATAATAGAGGACTAAATATGGAAACCCCCCTGTTATAAAGGACTAATTATGGAATTTACTCTTAAAAAAACTTTGCTTTTTAATTGCTCTCTTCATGATAAGATCTTTAATTGCGCTATTCCTTACTTAGTGTTGTTATTATAATTAATTAATGTATGAAAAGAGGAAAGCCGTTTTATTCTTTCCATATCTAATGTATTTTCATTCTTACTTCTTACGGAGTATATTTGATCCAAGGGTTCATCCCCCCCCCCAATTAAGTGTCTTTTTCACCAGTAAAAACACTTTTTTAAGAAAAAATTACAAAAGTTTTGCTACATGTTGGTAAATTTTCTATCATACGGAGTAATATATTTGAGTAGNGATCTTTAATTGCGCTATTCCTTACTTAGTGTTGTTATTATAATTAATTAATGTATGAAAAGAGGAAAGCCGTTTTATTCTTTCCATATCTAATGTATTTTCATTCTTACTTCTTACGGAGTATATTTGATCCAAGGGTTCATCCCCCCCCCCAATTAAGTGTCTTTTTCACCAGTAAAAACACTTTTTTAAGAAAAAATTACAAAAGTTTTGCTACATGTTGGTAAATTTTCTATCATACGGAGTAATATATTTGAGTAGTAATAACACGTTTACGTTTTATATTTTGTAAAAAAAATCTTTTACGGTTTGTGCAGGGTGATTCGTGCGGAGTAAATATATCTCTTTTTTCCGAAATAAATATTAGTTCTCGTCGTTTATGATCGAGTTGAAATTGGACTAAAAATAAGTTCAAACTAAATCACTTTGTTGCGAGCGTATGAGGATTGAATCATTTTTTGAACAAAACTTGTCTAAACTAAACTGAAAATTAATCATAATTAAAAATGAAAAGCAAGAACTTAAAATGATTAAGGTGAAATGAGTGAGATTAATTAAAAATGAGAAAAATGTAGGTGTGCTGGTGAGAGGGTTGGTCAACCAAACAACCACTGCTTTTAAGCCAAGTTGTTTAAACACAAAATTAACCATTGGTACTCATTGTGCAAATACTATGGGTTGGTTGATTGGCCGGCCATAGACGCTATTATTATTTTGACAAAAATTTGCAACCTAAATAGAATTTCCACCCAACTCCCCTAACCCACCGAACTTTGTGATTATATACTTTCTTTGTCTCATAATAATCTTCTAATAATATGAGATTACCACATTTTTTAACAAAAAAAGTATTTAGACGAGAGGAGCGCAAACGATTGCATAATTAAAAGAAAAAAGAAGAAGAAATGGGAAGGGAGGAAATAGCAGCAGAAGCAATATATAGACGAGAAAGATAAGGCATAGATTGAGTACTCTTTGATCATTTATGGACCTTCTTGTTCAATATAACTTGACAATTCAAGTCGATCACGACATTTGCTTATTATGTACACTCCTATAGCCTTCAACAATGTTCTACTCCAGACAAATCAATTTCACTACTAGGTTCACTGCGCATATATATCATCTCAAATTCAGGAAAAATGAACAAATATTGATATTCCACAGCTTCGAATGGTGGCTGAATTGTAAAAAACTGACCTACGCAATCTCCAGGATGCATGAAGATTCTAGCTCGAGCCACGATGATGATGACCATCATCTCTACTGGGGTAGTTGTTCCAATCACTGTCCCCAAAAACTTCATCAATCATGCCTGGAGTCGGCAACAACTCCACTCTGCTCTGAGGGCTGCACCCAAAGGAACCCACGTCCCATTCCTTATTACAGGGTTCCACCACCAGATCGTGCCTGGTGTCACTGCTGCACGTACCCACACTCTGTTCACAATCTTTGATAGTATCGATCTTCCCCTCTGCTTGCTGTGGCGTGACAACACCATTACAGCTGTAATCTCCTTTTGGAAGGACTCTGTCCCATTCCCGAATGGACTGATTGGGCCCCGGAAAATACTAAAGGAGAAAAAAGAGCAGAAGAAAATATTATGAAGGAGAGCAAGAAGGAAATAAAATGTGGCACGAAATAAAATATAGGCTAAAGAGCGGTTAATTTGTTGGTATGTGTTCCATACATACCGTAACTGCTGGTTCATGATTGACAGCATTGTTTGTCTGAATGCTACTATTCTCATTATATACCATTTGATTATCAACAAGGCAGTGATCATCAATATGAACAGGGGATTCGACAACCAAGTCTTCATCTTCACCACTCGCTTTAGCTTCATCTTCAGACGACTCGCCCGGTGCATGCCATTCATCATTGTCACTATCAATATTCAAAAGGTCAAACCTGTTCTGCTCAGCTCGCCTCCTCAGCATGAAGACGTTAAAGTAGTAACTCACTATTTGCTTCTTAGTCCTTGAAGGAAACTCAACAGCGAGGTTGTCCCAGAAATTCTTGCCGAGGGATGCAGGGTTGGAAAAGACAACGTCGTGAAACAATTCCTGTTCATCTTCACTCCACCTTGAAGCCACCACCTCACCCATATCTTCGAATCCAAGACTGACAAATGTCTCCTTGCCAAGCACTCTCCTTAGTTTCTCTCTCGCTTCAAAGTTGTGCTGACGAATGCATCTAATTGACCCCACATCTCCACATACACAACCACCACTTCCAGTTCCTGCACTGCTCTTGTCACTGCATCCAGCAGGGTCCTGTTTGGGCATGGGAATGATACATGTTCCACAGAATCTATTGTCATCGCCAAAATAGCCATTTCTATACCAGTCTACATCTTGGGAAGTTTTATTCTTCTCGTGTCCCAAGATAACAGGAATGTCTGCCTGATGATTCGGACCAAGGGGAACCAGCTTTCGAGGAGGGCTTCTAATGAGAGAAGAATATATTATTTTTGAACGGGCAATGTTGACATCGTGATGCTCAGGAGACAATAATATGTAATAATGACACTCTGGCTTAACATCTTCTTCACTGGTGCTGCTAGTGGCAAAACCATGGGGGATGCCTCTTTGAGAGCTCTGAAAATCATCAGCGTATCGACCATCAAATTTCTCATCAATCGTGAAGTTTCTTTCAAATGGAATATCAGCCTCAGCCTCACCTTCACCTACCAAATATTAGGACCAATCTTTTAGTACAAACATACAAGAGTGCAATTAGAAGCTGTTATGAATCTTATGAAGGGAAAGATGTACAAACAATCCAAACTAAATTATTCAGTTAAAGAAATTTGTACAAAAATTACTCAGTATTTTATTTATACATTTCTATGATATACTAACTAAGAAATGTAGATGATGTAAAAGAAAATCAAAAGTTTTAGTCAATTTCAACATTAAACCAAACATAAAACTACTTTTCTCAGCAGTTTTTATTTCCTTTTTACCAGAACAACATTATAGTTGCATAGCAGAGTAGCATAAACCAATTAAATATAAAAAAATACAGCTTTATGTTCTTTAAGATGTTGCAGAATCCTTCTTTCACCTAAAGAGTGAGACTTGAAAGGAATAGGAACACGAGGAAAGCCCAAAAAAGCTAGCTGGTCACAATGCCTCACAAGCCTAGGCTGCTTGGATGAAAGCTCATTCAATTCTTGGTCAAATGACCGTTTTTGCACCATGTTTATCTGAAATTGGATTTTTAGTTGTATAAGCAACATGACAACGGTATAAGCAGCAAAACCACATCAAGACTCGCACGTTTAAATGTGTGAAAAAAAATTCAATCCCACATTAGAACATGACAGGCACAAAAAAGTCATTAACTAATACCAAGAGAAATCCTTTTTTCTTTGAAATTTCTGAGTAATAAGAGATACGATCTCTTCATAAGCGGTTAAGCATAACCGCGCTATGATCTATTCTCTAGTCACTGCCAAAGTTACACCACTGGAGATTGGGGAATACCATTTCTACATATATATATATTTCCAATTGGCAAGTGGCTGTTGGCAATATTTTATCCCTTGCTACATAGTTCACTATATTTCCAACAGGCAAGAGCAGTAGTACTCGATAAATACCCATTTTCCAGAGTCAATCAATGACCAACTGAACATTTAAAGAACCATCTGCTCCAAAATTGCTACCAATAGTAAAAATCCTTCAAAGCTAATAGATATTTTGAAACATAGGGAGCATCTTTATCAATCGCCCTCAGAGTTCAGAAAAAGATTAACTTGTTTTAATACAGCAGCTGAAGAAAAGTAGGTCCACACAGCTGAAAGATTGAACTACTCCATATTTCATTTCGGTGTCATTTCAGTGACCCACCAATGAAGTAAAAAGGTACAGTTACAGACAAGCCCGCTATGAACAGTAGAATCTCGAATACCTGAAATTGGCGGGGTGTTCTTCAAATTGAAAAGCAGATCTTTCGAATCGAGCTAATCTCAAAGGATTACCCGAAAACAGATCAATTTTGAATAGTATGGCATGCAAAAGACCTAACCCTAGATCCCCAAATTCGAAGACATAACTTAAAAATAAAATATCAATATTTTTAAAAAAATATCCAATCAAATTTATTTAATAGTAGAAATAATAATAAAAAACAGATAAAAGAAAATACATAGCGTTCAAAATCTAGAGATCCATCTTGAAAGAAAAACAAGAAAACCAGAAGAGGGCGAATGAAAAACTACCAATTGATGATTCTCAGAGGAAAGAATAAAAATCAAAACACAGATCTAAAGCGAATTACTGCGGAGAAAAATTGAGGAGAAGAAACAGAAACCGATCTGGAATCCCAAAATAGAAGACGGGTTAAAAATGGGGCGTTGACGAAGAAAACGGGTACCGCTTCGGGTTACCCGATGATGTGTGGAACGGCGCCGTTGTTTTCTAACATAACAGCGCGGATGGGATTTACGTAAACCAATCATTAGTTAAAGTCTTACATATAATGACATCAGTATACGCTGTACTAACATCTTAATGGTTTGTTTGGATGATCAGAAAAACGAGAAGAGAAAAAATACTCCGTAAAAGAAAATAGTGAGATAAAAAAAGAGAAAAAACTAGTACTAGTATTTGATTGATAGAAGTTGACAAGAAAATGATTAAAAAAGGGAAGTAATTTTTTTTAAAAAAAGGAAAATAGTTTTCTCATCCATTAGAAAAGCTTTGGCATATCCCACACATATTTTTTCTTTTCCCACATTTTTCTTTCTCTTCCAAACATAAAAAATTGTATTGGAATTTATGTTTTATCATATTCCTTTTTCTGTTCTTTTCCACCATTTTTTTACCAACTCAACAATAAATACTCCCTCCGTCCCTAATTTAATTACAATTTTTCTCTTCTCTCGATAATTATTGTTTGTTTAAGTAATTTTATTAAGTATTTAATAAAATAAAATATTCGTGTCATATCTTGTTTTGTAAAGTTTTTAACGTAATTTTTAATATAAAATTTTTATTTCTTATCAATATAGCAATTTTTAAATAAAATGATTTTAAGAAGTGATATATTTCTTTTCGTAAACCTTAATTTGTAATCAAATTGGATACGCGGAGGGTGTTTATGAAAGTGGGGTTGAAAACTAAGCGGTAAAAAATTCAAGGATCTATTTGGTACACGACATTGACAGAATTGAAATTGAATTAAGTGTTTAAATTCTATGAAATTGATTTGGATGTAATTTGATTTTCCAATTCCAATTCATTTTTGGTACTACCAATTCTAAATTCACATATTTCTGTGCTACCAAACATCAAAATTAAATTTATTATTTACAATTTCAATTTTATAGTTTGAATTCTGTATATCAAACAGAATCTAAGAGTATTTACAGAGTAATCTATAATGGAGTATTTGAGCTAGTTAAAATGTTCCTGATTAAGTCAATTTTTAAAGGTTATATGATATGAATTTTAAAATATTAAAAAAATTTTAAGTTCAAAATCTAAAATAAAAGTGATTATTGAGATTTATGGTCAGCAATGAGTGGACAATGATGGGGGAAGCCGATGATAGGAAGTGATTTGCAGTTGAAAAGATATCAAATCCATGAATTAATATTTTAAAAATTGAAATTCTAGATATGTCAAAACTCTAGTTTAGTAAAATCTTGATGTTTGGAGAAGTCAAAATCGAAATGTTTTCATCAAACACGATTGATGGATCTAGGCATCTAGCAATCTAACAAAAAATTAGAATTCAGAATATAAAATCACACAATATATTACTCCGTATGTATTTTAAAAAATGTAGTCCCACCTCTAACGAGGAGCCTTTATTTATACATGAGGATAGAACCAATATTCGAATCCTAAGTCGGTAAAGTTCTGAAGAATATTTTACGGAGTATTTGATATTTAAGTTTAATTTAGTATAGTATTAGAAAAAAATGAAATTTAGTACTCCGTATTTGAAAACCACCATTTTTACTTTTACACCAATATTTTATAAACCAAATTGAAAACAATTCCATCAAGATTCCTCAATGGCAACATGATCTTTTTTCTGAGGCAAAAGTAGCATTTGAACGAAGAACATTTGCAATTATTTCCTGGCCATTCTTTGGCTTTAGTTTGGGTGTTTCAATTTTAATCTGGAGTTTAGAAATTGTTTTGGGTAACAAGAATTAAAAAGTTTAAAAATTATTCTAGATAATTAGAATTAAAAATTAGATGTCTTAACACCGTCAAAATAACCTAACCGTATAAAATTTGACCAGCAAATACAGAGTATAGTATAATAGAGATTTCTTAAAAGGACGAAGTAGCACATTTTTCTTTAGTCTTGTAAACAGTTTTTTAATTGCAAGGTCTAATTTTTAGCCTTACCTCAGTCCCTGAATATTTGATTAGTTTTAACTTTTTCAGTCTTTTTGACCTATAATTAAATAAAATATATTATATATTAATAAGTAAAATAATATTTTGAAAAATATTTTATGTACTCATAGTAAATTTAATAAAATTAATATTTAATATCACTTTTATTTAATTTGAGATCAAAATTTAAAAAAAAAAAATCAAAAGTTGAGAATTACTCAGGGCCGGAGGGAGTACCTCTCTTCAACCATCAATTTTCATTTTTCACATCACAAAGAATTGAATGCCTTACCTGTTTTAAGTGTAGTTTTCTAGAAAATGTTGAAACCAAACAAGTTGATTTCCTTGTTCTCTATTGCCATTGGCGAAGGGAATAACCATCATCAATCATCTCGAGGAAGAACAGATAAACAGAACAAATCAGTGCTCAATTCCATGCTCTTCAAGCCCAGACTAAAATCTGTTTATCAAGCCTAACTATGTACACGAATGATCTCAAGAAAACTAGAGGCTCAAATATTGGTATAAAAAAACGCAGGGATAAAAGAGAATGCAAGAGGGAACCTGCTTATGATCAGGATGAGCTTGTGGAGCCAATTCAGAAAGAGATCTCCCAACTCCGGAATCGGATACCCATGGGCAATCCATGTGTAGGTTGCCAATCTTTCCTAAGCACATACATTAGAAAGAACTGACACACACACACACACAGACGGAATAATATAAAGATTAAAGAGTAATGCAGCTTACCTTTGCATACGATGATAGCCAGCCAATCATAATGTCCAAATAGAGATGTACAAACAGACAGTTAAAACGTATCACACAAGTTAATAGAACCCCCAGCTCAATTTCATAATTTTTTTGGGCATAAATTTACAAGTTTAGTAAGCACCCCAACAAAATTTCTATCTTCCTATCAACCTTTTTCAAGTTCGTGTACAAACAAATTCCCCCCTCGCCTGTCTCTGAACTCGCAATTTTTTTACACAACAGTAACTATGGCAACCTATTATAACTCAACAGTAATGACTATGCAATTGAAAAAAACCTGTAGTACATGTGTACTCTTTATAATAGATACAAATGTCTAGGACAGTTTCAATGCCATTTGTTGGAGAAGTGCCCGCTTCTGTGATGCATTAATCACCTGACTAGACTCAGCATTCTCAAGTACATCAGCAATTATGGCAGCTGCGTGACCGAGTGGCTCCTCTGTTGCTCTCTTCAGCATGAATGCCTGTAGACAGATCAACCAAGATCAAGACAACTTTATTTACAAAACTATTCCCCCACCCCACCCCCACTCCAGTCCCATCCACACAAAAAAGTCAGGTTGGAACAAGGTATTACATGTAAAATCTCATAAGGTACATACTACATGAACCATGAATCCGAGTTAATTTTTAGATTCATTTTGTTGTTTTTCTACTTTTTAATGCTATGTTTGCATCATGGAATTTTAAAGGGAAAAGAAAAGAAAATGAGAGGGAAAACTACTTTTCATGTTTGGATAGAGATGAAAAGAAAATGAGAAGGCAAAATGTACTAAAAGGGGGGATTCAAATTCCTCCCATTTTGGTGAGGAAAGTGAGAGAAAATCATTTTCTTTTCTTTTCCTTCCAAATTTCTTGAACCAAAGATTACAAGAAAAGTTAGTATCAATGATCAAACATGACTCTTTTTTGGGCGATGGAGAGTGTTCAAAATTGCATTACATTTCTCAATCATAGTATGGGGCGTGTGGACAGAGATTATAATACTTAGATACCTGCCCATGGTGTGTTATGGTCAATGTGCAGGGTGGTTGATACCAAGGTTCTCCATCTATTTGAACGGGAAAGGCAGCAAAAAGTTGAATTTTGATGGTCTGACCCTGAGCAAGCCTCCTTGCTTTAGATAATCCTACCTTTACAGTGAAACATTTATAAAGGGCAAAGCATTCAAAATTACTACAATGTGTATTATATTACATAATAAAGAAGGAATCAGCACCCTACCCCCTCCCAAAAAAAAATACCTGCAGCTTCCCGAGATGCCATGTCCCTGAAATGCTGACAACCTCTAGTATCTTGTCATGCATGGATTGAGGATAAAAATTATCATAGCTTTCATCCTCATTCTGCCACAGATCCACACCTCCCATGTAACTGCTAATGTTAGCAACAAGAACCCCCTCTGCATCCTGAGAGATGAGATTAAACACTATCTTCAATGTCTCTGCTATTACTCATGAGTCGTGGCATTGTCATTGAATCCATGAACGTAAAGTAAAACTCCGTAATTAGCATAGCTTTAACCTCAATAACAACACCCCACTCAAAAAGATTAAGAAAACAAAATTAAGACTCTCTCTGTCCAAAAATAAGGCTCCTCTTTACTATTCACACGGTCAAACTTTTTTTTTACATCTTAATCTAATGTTTGATAATAAAATAGTCAAGTCACCACTTTTTTGTAGAACTTATGATGTAGTTTTTAAATATATACTCCGTAATTTTTATTTTTAAATTTATACCAACGTTCAAGTATGTTGAGTTAAAAATAGCTTCAATCAAACATCGTAAACCAAAATATGAGCCTTATTGTGTGACGGACTACGGAGGGAGTATCACACAAGGTGGGAAACTAATGTTAAAATAAATACTCCCTCTATCCCTTTCTTATGGCACATGTTGACCAGCTTGTGAATTAAGAAAGTGAAAACTGTTAATGGTCTAGTTAAGATTTATTCCAAAGAGATATAATACAAGCCACATTAATTCCTTAAGAGGAAATGAGACACTCCGTACAATTCAAGCACATGCAAAAAAGGGAAATGGGAAGATAATGTAGGGATGAGAGAAAACCATTGCTTATTAAACGAAAAGATGAATTATGAATTTTGTGTTAGGGAAAACGAATGTTGAAAACTACTTGAATAGTTAAGCATATCAATAATACGAATTCTGAAAGGATGAACTGTGAATTGTGTGCTCCGGAAAACAAATGCCAAAAGCATTCAAGCAAGATATCCTAGCAATACACATCTTATGATGTCTCGTGTACGCACCTCAGGAACCTCAATCTCAACGCCATCTACTTCCACTCGGACTTGCCAAGGAAAATCTGCAAAAGTCCTGTCCATGATACTCCTGGCACCTTCTCTAGCATAAAGAACTTTGTTCATGAACTGCAATAGTGTTCAGATCATGATTGCATCAAACTACATACAATATAACAAACTAACTATTTCTTCACAAGACAACATATGTGCACATGAATAAACTGCCAAATAACATAAGCATCAAAGAGATGTGTAGTAATACAGAATGTTGCTGTTTTAAAAAGAATAAATTTAGTTGTCCGTTGTACAGATTATTGTATTAAGGCTTAGGAGTTACAAATGCATCTCAAAAAATACCCTCTTAGGTTAAGAAACTGTAAATGCATAAATATCGCTTAAATTCACACTATTCATATCCAATGGAAACATCACCCTCCCCTCCCGGCACTCCATAAATCATATAGCACAACAACTAGATTACCTGATTGTAGAACTTTTCTGGGTTCTCCTCCCTCAGATTATGTATTTCCAGTGCAACCTTTGCATCACAGCCAACCCCTACACAATGGTAACCCTAGATATCAGGGCCAAAGATCAATGCTGAATTGTTATGTGTACCTATCACACTAGCAGCAAACATACAGTTCAATGGAAACTTCCCAAATACCAACAATATAAATTTATTAAATGAAATGGGGCAAGAGATCGAGAGATTGAAGTATAGAAAACTAATATAGAAATAGAACAAGAACATACATAGGCCACACAAATACAACTGTGAGTGGAGATACATATTAACCATTGAATGCAATGAGATAGAAGTCAAAGAAATTAGAACGTCAGTAATAAACAAATGATAACCCGCTACGCGCTATTTACTACTCTCTCTGTCTATAATGCAGGATACATTTGGGTTCAGTATGCTCTTTAAGAAAATAACGGTGCTAGTTGTTTTGAGATCTTACCTTAAAAGAAAGAATATGGGCCCCCACCAAGTGAAAACATGAAAGTTGGATGAAAGGATAAATTGGGAAGTAATAAAGTGGAGTTTAAATTAGAGAAGTAAACATAATTTTGGGACATAGTAAGGAGCAGAGCGGATTAGTAGTATTATTAATATACTCCCTCTATCTCAAAATAATTTTCTCACTTTCCTTTTTTGTTTGTCCCAAAATAAACTTCTCATTCCTTATATGTAATGAGTGGTTCACCATAATTTTCTCTCCTCTGCATAAATCTCAACCACACAATTTCACTTTTTTCTTAAAATCGAAAGAAATGGAAATTTTAATTTGGGATGGAGGGAGTAGTATATACGAAATCCATTCACCTAAGATAACCTTGTTCATTGAATACCTATATAGTCAAATACAAACAATTACCATTTTATATTTGCAGTTATGTATGTTTTTGAAGCATGTGTACATGTTTCTACATGTGAAAGTGGCCAAAACAACCTGTCAACATACCAAGGTAATTATTCATGAACTTTGGTGGTTGAAACTGCTTTCCTTGTTGATCAAGAATTGAGACTTTCCACCGATCAAGTACGGTGACTGCAGCTTGTTCGATATCACGCATAAGTGTACAAAGACCTCCTTGTCTCTCAACTGAACCCAAACCACCACCCCAAGAAAGAACTCGAGCCAAATCATTTCCTGTCCCAGCTGGAAGTATTGCCATTGGTGGGGGTGATACAAAATTTTGCTTGTCTATAGCATTTAAAACCCAACCAACAGTACCATCACCTCCACATACTAGAATTCTGAAGTGTAGTACCTTTCTGAACAAAAAGAGACCAGCTTCTGGTCCCTGTGTCGAGCTCAACTCAAATACCTAACCAACATAAGTTATGCAATATGTACGGCAATGTTAGAATTCAGAACTAGTAGACAGACCCGTAAGCACTATGCAACTGAAATAAAGTGTCTCAATCTACAGACAAGTCATATCTTCATGATGTTTTTAAATTGAATGGTTCATGTAGGACATCATAAGATCCCTCCAAAGAAGAAATTGCAACAAAAAAAGTTCATATACTGAAAGCCTGCAAGCCAACAATGATAACCATAAAAAGTAATAATATGTTTCCTTGGTCCCTACAGAGTATCAGCTAGACGAATCACTGTATAGTCACAGCCACAATATTGAATATATTATTGATTCTACTCCATATGTGTTTGCCATTAACTCTTCTTTTGGACAAAATTTTTGTTGCACTATATCCTGCATATGCAGAGGAAAAGAGAATCAGATGCAACCAATGTATATCAGATACCTGACCTGCACAGGATTTAGAAGGACGCTTAAGCGTCGCCTAAGTGAATCTCCTCGTTGTGCTCCACTTTTCTTGTTAATGAAAATTAGCAGAGGTCTAACATCTGAAGGCAAATCAGTCACCTCATATTTCAGTCTCATCCCTATAGGTTGGGTATCATCTTTTTTATTAACTGATGGACTTTTTTTTAGCTTGGCTTTGGGTTCAGGATTCTTAATATCACCATCACGCTCCTTTTCAACACTCTCTGCATGCATACCACCATTACAATTCTCCTCCATTATATGCGATCCATTTACTGCCAGACTAGTGTCAGCAATGCTTTCACTTGATATATCGCCAACAGGATTGCCATTCCCTGTTCCTGCAGAGTCCTCACTCATGTGTTTCTCATTTCCATGCTTGTACTTCTTGCTTTGACTTCTAATAGTAGCACGAACAGATGATGCAAACTCATTGGCACCGTGAGTGATGGAGCTAAGCAACCCACCCGAAGAAGTACGATGTAATTCTTTAACATAAAGCGGTGACACAATAAGCCTTCTGAAAGGCCCCAAGTCACACGAGTCATCAGTCTCATTAGACATACTACTACTATGGCAATCAACATGAACCAAACGCTGGCACCATAAGCAGCACCATATAGGTGATCCACTGCATGGCTCTTCGCAGTACCTGCAAAATGAAGTCTCAAATGGTTGGTCAGCTATTTCTGTCCACCGCACTGCCCACTGATGCACCACGTGCTGATACCCAATCATAGACACACACTTGCAATCCTTTTGAGCACTTGATGAGCAACGCAGGTGAGCTGCTGCACCACATATGCTGCACCTATTAAATACACACTCTGGAGTAACCATAGGGCCAAGCGTCTGTGAGGGAGAAATTGACTTTAAACATACAAAACAGTTTAGATTTTTCCCACGAGAAACATCCTCCCGGTCCCAAATGTGTGGGGAAGCAGGAGCTTTAGGTTTTGCTTTCGGGTGTTTCTTCGACCTAGCAATGGCTTTCATCCAGCCCAAGTTTATATTCCTTCTCCATTGGAAAGCCGTGTAAAAAATGGTCAAAATCCCTACTAATCCCGCAACCACACAGGTTAAAATGAAAAGCCGAGATTCTGCCATTTCTGACGGATCCTTCACAATCCAACTCTGAAACATAGATTCGGGGTCTCCAAAGTCTTCCATTTCTCTATACTTCTATCCACTGCACATTCTACGATCAAAAGCAAGTGCAGATGAATGGAAATATTCTTAGGATCTTCATTACTACTACATCATCCTACTCAGTTACCACTCCCAATTACCTGCAAAAACAAAATGACCATGTCACTGAGCAAAAGTAAGAACGAAGATCAAGCCCTGCCTAAACTATTACCTGATTAACCTCATTTTCCCTAAACTCTTTTTAATCCATTTGTATTAATCACAAAAACACAGAGAGCAACCAAATTCCTCGATAGAAAAAAAAACAAAGCAATCCTATATAAGAGAAACAGGCACAAAAACAGAAGAAAAAAAAGACATGAAAATGCGCGAAAAATTAATGTGATCATCCATGATATTGCTAAACACAAACATCAATCAACGCGGAAAAGGTAAAGCAAAGTCAAAACCCAACTCACATGGATCCGATAGTCTGTCGGTGGCGAACCCTAGCAGAGAGGGATGGAAAAACGCGCGAACTCGGGAGGAATATATGCTTCTCTTGAAAACGAAGAGACTGAAATGGCAATAGAGGAAAATCTATGAATTTCGGAGAAAAAAAATTCTATCGCACAGATTCGAGAGATTCTATTTACTGAATGGACGTCCAGAGATGAATTCTCAGAGCTGCACGTGTCGGGCAGATGGTCCTTATATTCTTCTATTTTGAGTTTTAGAATAAGAATACATTTCTAAATTTCAGTAATGGTATCTGAACTTTTATTAGAATTTCGAAGTGATACTTAAAGTTCAAATCCTTTTACAAAAACCTGAACTTACATAATCATTTCACTAAAAGTCCATTTACCTGTTTTGTTTTCAGGTTAACTTCCGATTATTTGGGTTAAATTAAAATTTTATATATTTTAAAATTTTCAATTTGACCTCATTTTTTTTTTCTTGTTCTTCCCCCTCCCACTCCCTTCTTTTTCTTCTTCAACCAAGGGAGATGGACCTTTTTAGAAATTTTTAGAAACTTTTAGAAACAAAAATGCTCCCAACCAAAGCAGATGGATCGGACCTTCAAGCTGACCAGAAGAACACCTGCAAAAACTTACCAAGTTCACCAGGGAAGTCATAGTAGACATTTCTTGATCTGTGTACAAATTATCCCAACACTACCATTAACTTTGTACTTGAAAATGCTGCAACCAAACAAATTCAACTTCCCCAGTTCAGATTCTCAACACTTTAACACCATTAACTAATCGAAAATCACCTGTTTAATGTGGCATTCAATTCAAAAATCAAATTCTTGAACTCGCATAAAAATATACACTTTTTTACAGAATTGAACTCAAGAAATTGAATGGGGAGCTTATAGCTGCGTACAATACAATCAGCAAATGGGATATGTTTTTCCTGCAAGTGACTCTGACATATCGGTTGAAGAAAGAAAAAGAAGGGAGTGGTAGGGGAAGAAGAAGAAAAAAAGAAGGGAGAGAGTGGGGGCTGGTGGGGGTGGGTCTGGAAGTGGGGTGGGGTGAGGAAGAAGAAGAAGAAGAATAAAGGGGGTGAAAGAAGAATAAAAAGAAGGGAGTGGGAGGGGAGGAGAAGAAGAAAAAAAAAATGGAATCAAATTGAAAATTTTAAAATATACTCCCTCCGTCCCCAATTTGATTACAAATTGCGGGTTACGGAGTAGAATTTCCTTCTTTTTGAAATTATTTTATTTACAAATTGGTATATCAATAAGATATAAAAATTATATATTAAAAAACTACGTCAAAAGTTCTACAAAACAAGAGGTGACAAGAATATTTTATTTTATCAAATACTTAATGAAATCGCGTAAACAAACAAAAGTTATCGAGAGGAGAGAGAAAAAAAGATTGTAAACTATTTAGGGACGGAGGGAGTATAAAATTTTAATTTAGCCTAAATAGTCGGAAGTTAACCTGGAAACGGGTAAATGGAATTTTAGTGAAATGATTATGTATGTCCAGGGATTTTTGTGATAGGATTTGAAGTTTAGGTACCACTTTGAAATTTTAGAAAAAGTTCAAGTACCATTATTGAAATTTACCCAAGCTTGTGGAGACTTTCTAGAATATTCTAGGATTTCTAGATATGTAAAGATGTGTGGAGCATTTTAGAGAAGCCAAACCTTGGTGATAACTATAAATAGGGGTGTGGATGTCTCATTTCGCAATGAGGAGGAAGAAGAGTTTGGAAAATCAATAAAGCTTCTTGAGAGTGTTTGTAAGTGAGTTGTAGAAAAGTGTTCCTTGTACTACCCGTGTAATTGTAATATCTTTTGTACATTTCTCAATATAGTAGAAAATCATTTTCTAAATCACATCTTTGTATTATTGAGTGTGAGTGTACAAGAGTTTGGCTGTGTGAATCGTGGAAAGCGGTCGAGACACACATCAATTCCCCAACAACCCTTTATATATAAATCCTCAAAATTTTAATTTGGAGGATCATTAAAAAATGGTAGTCCCGTTAGAGCATTTTTTTGCTACAATATTATTCAAAAATGCTTTATTTTAGAAGATTAAGGATCTTTGGAGTTGTTCTCGAGTCTCAAACCACTAGATTTCATAATACCATTACAATTTACAACTAGTGTTGGATGGTCCACAAACCTACAAAACATGTTGGAATGTTACCTTATTAACACTCCCCTTGCTTGGCCTTTAGAAACTACTCCCTCCGTCCTCCAATTTTTGTTCACTTTTGACTTTTGGAACTGTTAATCTAAGCACTTTGACTCATCAAATTCTCTCAATGTGTAAGCCTAAATATAGTCATATGTGATCTTGTTTGATTTGTCTTAACATATAGATTATTAATACTACGTATATAGTTTCTATAATTTTTTAATATACAAATTACAAGATAAAATGGATTAAAGAAGTGCATTGGATAGTGTGTAAAAATGAAAGTGGACAAAAACTGGGAGACGGAAGGGGTAGCATGCATTTCTAAAAGTAGCTTATTTATAGAGAAGAATAGTCATACATTAAATTCAATAAAACATAACTTTGTAATTCACTTGAATGATGACATTACTTGATTGTTGATCCAAATTAAAACGAATATCAACGAAATGGCGCCATTAAAAGCAACCCCAATTTAAAGGATTTGATCTCGTGGTTACCACTTACCAATGCTCAAAAAATTGAGATCGCGGTGCTTCGGTGACTACATATATACCAAGTACGAGTAAATTTTTTAATATAAAAATAACGTTATGAGTGAATTTTTTAATATAAAAGTAACGTTACTAAATGTCACTTTCGGGTGTTCAAAAAAATGTTACTTTCAGCTCGAATATAAATCCATTCTTGATCTAGTCGGAATATTGTCCGTTCTTGGCCTAACCAGGAATCAAGCTACCCTATGAATGTGGGTGTGCTATCTACACTTGTCATGGGCAAAAACCTCAACTAAATACGGAGTAATGGACCTTTCTGGCGTCCTCACCCATTTAAGATACACGTACCATATACTCTTACAGGCTCGTGTTGTCTTCCTTCCTCGTAAGCATCGCCTCCTCTTCCTCGTCTAGGTGTTCTGCTCTTCGGCTCTTATATAGTTCTGCAAAACCCCATTCTTCGCACCAGTTTCAACCTCAAATCGAGGCTTAATCCGCTGTTGCGTTTGGATTTCTTTCGTACTAATCTCCCCGCCCACCATGGCCTCTCCTTTCACCCTCCATTCGGCCAAGACAGCAGCTTTGCTGGGCGGCGCTTCTTCCTTCAAGAATCGCCCCCTTATTCCGCACCAGAACTCCATTTCTTTCGGATCTACTTCCAGATCCGGGCCCGCAATGCTCCATCAACACCAGGTTTGCATTCAAGCTCAATGGGTTTGAGTTCTGTTGACCAAAGAATGAATAAAGATTGATTTTTTTTCTTCTTCTTGTTCTTGATTTTTTCATTAACGCCCAGGGTGGTTTGAAAGTCCTAGCACAGAGCAGTGAGGTAAGTTGAGTTTCTTCATCATCTTCTGCTTCTTCTTGTTTTTCCCCACTTAAAAGCAATTTATAATGTGTCTTCACGTTGACTTCAGGTCTTGTTAAAGGATAAATGAGTCCTGAAAGAGACAATTTTGTTTGAGCTTATCGTTTCCAAAGAGGAATTACAAAATTTCTTCAAAATATGTCATTCTCTTTTTATTGTGCAAGGTCTCACTGATTATTATTGGTCAGGCCGGTCAGGGTAGTAAGGCCACTCATACAAATAACTATATCAGTTAAATTCGCAATGAGTTTGTTAGTGTGAGTGAAACAGCACTGAACTGTAGTCATTTTGAACTGGATGGAGCAAATATCTAAGAAATATTGCGTAAAGGGCAATGCTATTATCAATTAAGCTAGGAAGCTAACATGAAAAAATTCAGGAAATCTTACCCATTCATTAGCATTAAGGATAGTGAGCCACTATCCTTAATTGATATGGAGTACTTTGTAGTAGAAAAGGGAAAAAATGAGATTTTGTTGTCAAATGCTATCTTGTACTACAGTAAAAAAACTAGACTAGACTAGATATTGCGAAACATGTTTTAACAGGCCAATACTACATTATGGGAAACAGGAGAAAGTACTACTCCCGAGTAGGAGTAAGGTCTGCATACATACACCCTCCCCAGACCCTAATTCCGTAGGATTCTACTAGGTTGTTGTTGTTGTTGTTGTGAAACAGGAGAAAGTAGTAAGAGAAAACATTTATCTAGTGCTGGAAATTAATCATGTCAACTGTTTCAAATGTTAAGGTTGCTGCCATTGAGAAAAATGCGAATTCGAAACCGGTTCCAGAAGAAAAAACTGAAGAAGAAATTCCCAAAGCTGACAAGGCAGTCTTGGATGTTTCTTTAATTTCAGACTTCATGTCTCAAGCAGCCCATCTTGTCGAGTGAGCACACTCTAATGATTTCCACAACCACCTGCTCAGTTTTGCATTTTCCAGGCTGTTTTAGCTTCTTCTGTTTTTTTTCTGGATTTCTTAAAATGCTTTGTAGGCTTGTGGATTCAAAAGACATTGTAGAGCTGCAGCTAAAGCAGCAGGACTTTGAGATAAGTATAAGGAAGAAGGAAGCATTGCCTCAACAACAGCAAATATTATCTCCTCCTCCTGTTGTTTGGCAACAGCCTGCTGTGCAGCATGCCGTTGCTCAGACACAAGACACACAAGTGCAGCAACCTCCAGCTGCTACTGCAGCGGCCCCACTTGCTCTTCCTCCACCTTCAAAGCCCAAAAAGTCATCTCATCCTCCACTTAAGAGCCCTGTCCCAGGAACATTTTACCGTGCCCCTGCCCCAGGACAACCACCTTTTGTGAAGGTACATGGTTAAGAACACTCTCCATTTAGTTCTAGCAGGACCATGATTAACTTCACACTGTATATGTATTTACTCTCTAAGCAATAAACAATCTATACTTCAGATTGCAACAATAGAACCCCCACGGTATTCCATTGTAGCTTTTGCTTCACTTAGGGGAGGGCAGTTTAGTTCTACCTTTTACTCCTGTTTTGGGCTTGGTTTGGTATAAAACGAGTTGGGAAATGGTTGCTCATTTAATAACCAAACTTTGCCTTATAATTGTAGCGATTGTGTTTTGCAGGTCGGAGACAAGGTCAAAAAAGGGCAAATACTTTGCATCGTTGAGGCAATGAAACTGATGAATGAAATTGAGGTTTGGTTTCAATAGTTCCAACATTATGCTTGATTTGATCATTTCCAATGTTAATAGAAAACAAAACATCATTGAATGATTGTCATGAAGTTTGAATGCTATACTACATACTCATGAGTCATGACAGCCCCCCTCCCCTCTCTCCTCAAATTTCTTGGCTACCTTTTGTAGGCTGAATACTCTGGGACTGTAGTTGAAATACTAGTTGAAAATGGCAAGCCTATCTGTTTGGGAGAGGTATCTCTCTCTCTCTCTCTCTCTCTCTCTCTATTTTTGCTCATTTGTTAAGTATATACTGTAACTTATATTTCCTTTGTGCAGCCCCTGTTTATCATTGAACCATGAAGAACAGATGGGACTGCTTCTAATAGGGAAAATCATAGATGGGTGGGAAGCTCACGAATGAGTTTGGAATCTGTACCGATGTAGTCATGTGCGTGTTTGGTCACCCCCCACCCCCACCCAAAGTATGCTAATTATGTTTTCAGATTGTATTCTCTTTCTTTTCAAATGAGGTACTTGAACTTTTTGGACCAAATGGAGTGCTTTATAGATTGTGGGTTGCTGTTTACATGAGAAAAAAATCATCTCCATTTGTTGCAGTATTGTGTTTAGTAAACTTATACCTACAAATATTTACATGGATTCAATTCCGAATTTCGTATGATTTTTCAATTTGTATGATAAATTCTTCTTCATCCAATGGTACTGAGGTTCACAGCTAAAAGGTTTTGCTCTAAGATTTCTGCTCTTACTTGCAGTATTAGTAGAAACTAAACTTCCAAAGCATAAGTGTATCTCTTTTCAACCAAGTTAAGAAAGAAAGTACACGAGATTCCATTTTCCATATCTTTTAGATACTTAAAGAGAGCAGTAACTGTAAAACCATGGCCAAGTTTAACCACAGTGCCAAGATAAGATCACCTAACAGTCAAACACAGGCCTGTCGAAAGAGATAACCAATCCGGGCTTGAACTACAACATTTACTGCAACTCAAAACATGAAGAAAGATAGCACAAAATCCCAGCAAGTTTTTCTCAGGCTTTGTGTGCAGAGAGCAACATTCTAAGCTCATGAACCAGTGGGGGAGTGTACAAAAATGACAACAAGCCATTAACATCACCATCCTTTCATCTGTAACTTCTATTTGCCACGCCGTTTTTGCCACTGCTTCTGCTCTATCCATCCAAGAACACCTCCAATGCATCTGTGCTGCGATATTCTTCATTAGGCATCACACACATTTACATGTAAATATTAAAACCATCATTTTCTTGATCAATGTATAAGGCATCGGAGATAGCACATAAGAGAAACATGACAGATAAGTATTTAAAAAAGGGCACCACACCAGTGTTTGAAGAACATACAAAATTTAACAACAAAGTAAAACATGTGCCTATTCACCCAGTCAAGGAAGCTTTTTCTATCACTCTCAATGAACTCGCTTGCTCGTTGATGCCTTTTTACCTTTTGTTAGCAGTTGGCCTGGCCCAAGTTTTGGCCAAGAGAGTGAGGGCACCGATCCCGGCACTCATTCCAACTCCGAGGAGAAACGAAGGCACGTGCACAGAGGATTTCCCTTTGTTCTGCACCATCATCATCTCCCACATCAAGTTTATATCATCCGGATGATATAAACTCAAGTGTATGGCCAGTGACATTCTCAGATCAGAAGCTTCTAGGGTTTTGTCCATGGAGATAGGTGTTAAACAAACAGGACAGCATGCCTTCATGCACCCTCCTCCATCCCCATCCCTTGTTATCGACACTCGGTTGGCCACTGCTTTCGCTCTATCCCGCAAAGAATTCTCAACACGCCTAGGAATCTGTACAATCACATTCATGCATTCTTTAAGCATCACTAGGATTTATAAGATCAGAGAAAAAAGGGTTATAGTAGGATCAGGAAAAGAGTTAAAGGTAGGATTTTTTTCGCTTGACAAATCAATACGAAAAATATCCCCCCAGAGAAATCAATGCAATGTTATTATTATTATTATTCTAACATTTCAAATCAAAACCATACGGTTGTGTTTTTGTTTATTGCCAGAATGAGGTTACAGAGCCGTGTCCATGTCAGCTGCAGAAATCTACTCATCTTCAGGTTTCTTCTTGGTGAAGGCTACTGCATCATGTGATTAAATATGAAGGGAATGGATTAGGAATGACCATCACTTTTAGACCATTCAATCGAGAAGAAAGGTATCAACTTCAAATCTTGCAGATGAAAGAAAGAGGAATCTGAACAATCAAGATGCCTTTAGCACTAATTTACGAATTTCTCTCCATAGAAAACAAAAATAGGGCTCTTTTATCCGGGGAAGAAAGACTGTGCAGAAAGACATGGGCATGTGCTCAAATGTCCAAGCAGAATAATAATTGGGCATTTAATACTGTTAATAAAATAAAAAAACAAGTTCTTTTTTTCATACTTCAAGAAATAAGTGGGTTCCCATCATTATGCTCCTCCATTGGAAGATGAGAAAAAAGGGGTAAATTTAAAGAGCATCTGGGGAAGTTCTTCAATATATGCGTCAAGAAACAAGAAAGAAGAAAAATGTGAAGTGCACAAACCGAGCTTTAACCGCAGTGATGAATTTCGATCGCAGGAGAGAGGAAAGGAAAGCTGCGAGCAGGGCGGTAAAACCTTAATGTGCGATTTTGGACGTTTCAAATTTAAAAAAAAAATACGCTCACGTTTCCAAAATTGATTAGTTACGGCGTTTTTTTCTTTTACTGGACTTCCGATATTTTGTTTACTTTTTCATTTATGTATTGTTTTATAAAATAAAATACTAGTACTTTGTAGGGAGTAATATTTTCCTCATCTAAAAGTTTTTTTTTTCGTTTATTAATTATATGATCAAATATGATTTATTTTATTGGTCTACTTGCAAAATAATATATTAATGTCACTTCTAATTTTGCAGATTTTTGACGTGCTTTTTAAATATTTCGTACGTAACTTTTGTTTTTTTAATTTCACACCATTTTTATATAAACTAATCTTTTTAAAAAATTACTCCTTCCGTCTCATATCTTTTTCGCGTTTGATTTTTCACGATCTTCGATATACCATTTTGACTATTAATATTTCAATTATTAAATAAAATATATAAAGGTATGATATTATAAAATTACATTTCGAAATAAATCAATTGATATTAAATTATACTATCTTCAGTCTTAAAAACATTTCTTGTTTTGACTTTTTTAGTCAAATAGTGATACAATTTAACTATAAATTGTGAGAAAAATGTATTTAGTTACAGAGTATAATATAAATTCAATATAATTAGATTCACCGTGAAATATATATTTTTGATATATCAAATTTTCATATCATTTATTTATTTAGATTATGTTTAATCACACAGGTTCTTATGACACTGGAAATCAAAGTCATGGAATGACTCAGAGATTCTCCAATGTCTCGCTCGTAAAATTGACGGTTCCAAACCACATACCCCCCCTGGTAATCTCAATCCCCTCACCCCGTCTCGAGCCGAACACACTCCTCTACCTCCTTCAATTGCACTCCCAAGGTAATTTTGACTTTGAGGTATTTGAAAAGTGTAAAGGAGTGTGTTCGGCTTGGAGGTAGGAATCGTCAATTTTACGAACGGGATACCGGAACACCTCCGGATCATCTCATGATATTGATTCCTAATTTTATAAAAATTAAGACGATATTTAATTTGTGGTTAAAGAATGACGCATATTATTTTTATAATTTGTAATTAAAGATTAAGGGGCTGTTTGGCAGCTTCTGAATAGTAAGTGTTGAACCAGTAAGAGGTCTGAACCATTAAGTGCCGAACCGGTAAGAGGTCTGAACCATTAAGAGCTAGTATATTGTTTAACTATTCAGAGGCAAATGTATGATCAATTCAGATAAGAGGTCTTAACCATTCAGACTCTGTATAATACTTAACCATTCAGAGGCAAATGTCTGAGCCATTCAAACATCTGAACCATTAAGAGGCTGAAACAAACAGTCTGAATCATTAAGTACTGAACCATTCAAACATCTGAACCATTAAAAAGTTAAAACAAAACCGCCCTTAAGTCTTTGGATGGGGGAGGGAGAGGGGGAGGTAGAAGAAACTAAGAATTAAAACCTAATTAAAACCTATGCGTCCGCCGCGGGAAACCCAGGTAAGGTTTACGCCTTCCTTAGCTGCCCTTCTCCTCTTCCGTTTTCTTTCTTTCTTTCTTTCTTTCTTTCTTTTCTTCTTCTTCGGATCTCACTTATCTATCCATTCCCCTCTCCATCTCCCATCGCCGCACTTGGACGCACATCTTCATCTCCCATCGCCGATCTTCATCTCAGGTACGGTTTTTTACTCTTTTTTTTTGCTAATTATTGAAAGTAGGTATTTTTCCCTGTTTTTTTAGTTTTTCTCCTTTTTTTTGCAGTTTTCTTTTTGCCGTTTATGTATATTTGCTTTTTTCTGTATTTTTTTTGCTGTTTGTGGAAATAGATAATTTGAAATTGATGCAAAATAAATTGTATTTTTTTGCTGTTTGTTGAAGTAGAATGTTTGAAATTGATGCAAGAATTTTTTTTTTCTGTATTTTTTTGTTGTTTGTTGAAATAGAATGTTTGAAATTGATGTTAAATTTTTTTTCTGTATTTTTTTTGTTGCATGTTGAAGTAGAATGTTTGAAATTGATGCAATTGTTTTTATTACATTTACCTTATAAATAGTAATCAAAATATTATTTTACGTTATTAGAATATTATATAATTTTATGTATAAGGTCAATTCTGATTCGACGGAAGTCACTTTAAAAAACAAATAAAGAATATTAAGCAGTAAGGTATTCAAGTAATTTTATTGTTTTACCTACCTCACATTACCTAATAAATATCCAAACATAATTTTTCACTTATTACCTTACTTTATATACTTTCAATTATTTACCTTCAATTACCTACCATTACCTACCTAATTAAACTTTACCTACCTCAAACCAAACATACCTTAAATATTTTGACCAAAACTCAAAAAAGGAAGAGAGGAACCAGGGAGTAGTAGCCGCCGCCGCAGCTGCCACCTCATCATCCCCTCGTCGTCGCTCAAGAGCCGCGGGACTTGAATTTCACAGCTATTCTTTTAGATTTGTTTGCATTGAGAATTCTCCATGTAAGAGAATATGAACCACAAATTCACAGGCACCCGTTTCGATTTGTTTGCAATTTTTTTCAAGCTTTTGCTTTTTTTGAGGCTCAGTTTGGGAACGAAGAAATGGATATGTTCTACATTGTTCTAAAATAGAAAGAACGAAAAAAGGGTTTTTTTTTTATCTGTGATGCTTTGTTCTTGATTTGGCGCTTCTCTCGTACGCTTCTCCTTCTAGGATATTTCTGGGATTTGTTTGTTTCAGTTTATTTGTTTGTGTATGGTGTTTTTGTTTATTTTAGCTAATAATTTGAGTATTTACTTGGTTCTTTCATTATGTAATTGATTTTGATTCAATTTACTTTGGTGTTTATTTCACATCAAAGAGGACAAAAGAAAATACAGATATCAACTGTCCTCACTCTTGAGTGTTTATTTTCATTCTAATATACAGACTGAGAATGGAATCCAAAAACGAGTGGATGGACACCAACATCCAATCCCCACTTGCAAAAGATCCGGCGACACCGCCGTCCTCCCAAAATTTGCGCCAGTGGAGACCAGCTGCACAGCGGAATCTCAAAAACCAGTGGTTGAAATTGGCTTCTCTATGGAAGGACTGGCTCTCTTCTTCCCCTACTGCTCGCTCCCACGCCGCTTCTTTAGTAAACTCTTATCTCTCGCAGAGGTAAAACCGAATAGGATGGGGAAAAGTACCACCTTTCTATTCACTGCCCATCAAATTCTGTTCCTTACACTTTTATCTTTTGTCCGTTAGAATAGAAAATAAATGAGTTCATGGGTATAGATACTATTTATTGGACTTCAAAGATGTAAATATGCATATGAAGTGCCACACTTCTGCATAGGTACATGGATGGAATGGAGTTTGGAGTTTTGAGTGAAATGCCAGAAATACAAAAGAAAGCATGCCACAAGCTATTCAAGCAGCAGGTGATTCAGAAATGGTAACACAGAAAGTCTGCATTAAAATATATATATTTTTGCAATGCATTTGAAGCCACTGAATCTGTTTGTTTTTCCTTCCTTTCTGTTTTACTCCTCAGGTGATCAATAAGGATCAGCTACTGTCATCCTACAAAACATTGGTATGTACGCAGAAACTGAAACACTTTTTTGGCTCGCTACAATTAGCAATATTTTCTGATCATATTAATAGCCAAGCAAAGTTTTCTTAGGCATTTTTTACATTTAGAGCTGCCGCTTTTGTTTTTATTTTCAATCCTCTTTAAGGTGAAGAATGCCCACGTATTGGAATCTCCTTAATAGAAACTTGTTTTGTTATCGGTAGCTTAGGAACCCTTGTGTGGATGTACTGCAAAAATTCTTGCAGTGCGTGTTACCGGAGTAATTATTACCTGTATTGCATGTATGTGGAGGTGAAAACAATTTCTTCTTCGGAAGATGAAAAGGTCAACTTTTAGTAATCTTAATGTTTTATTTTAATCTTGAGCTCTAGAAGTAACGTTCCATCTGAAAAATACTCAATTTGTAGACATTCAATATTGAAAAAGTATTCAGATCGAAACAGTTAGGATGCCAAAAAGTTCAAATGAGTAACTTTTTTTAAAATATACTCTCACATTCTTCGCATAAACCATCAACATCATCATGATAAAGTTTGAAGCCTTTTTTCTGCAAATATGCGCAATGATTAATTGTAGGAATGTATGTGTGAGAGTTGTATGTTTATATATATATATATATATATATATATATACAGGTTGGGATTGTTACTCAAATGGTAAACGCTTCAAGATCTATGAGGTGTTATCGCAAAGGGATGAGCAGCAGCCCAATTATACAGTTTGCTTGCAGCCCTCCTGTTGATAATAATCATCTGAATGACACTGGCGGTGATGGCGGTGGAGTTCCTGTGTTCACCTTTTTGCCAGTATCTTCTTTCGGTATCCCTCTCTTCTCTTTAAGTCCTTCACCCATGCTTGCACTGCATCAAATCTTCAATAAATCTCTGTTTAATATTCGCCAATCATAACTTTGCTTTTAGAGTAAGAAAACTGATTTTAGCAAGAGAATGAAAAGCAGCAGACACTTGATGATGCTGTTTTCTATTTCAGCTATTGCTTTACATCTCTCTCTCTCACAACACACACACACTCACACTGTACATAAAGAGATAGTTCTTGATTTTTACTACCACACGAACTGAGAGTTTGACTTCTTTTCAGAGCAAATGGCCGAAGAGCTGGTTCGAATGCTAGAATCTGAAATTAACTTAAAGGTCAGCTGCCAATCTAGCCTTGAATTATATGAACCCCCTCCCCTCCCCCCCCCCACTCCACCCCCAAACACACACATCATTTTGTTAAGCGGGTTGCATCAAAGTTTTACATTAATATGCAGCGGTTACTTGTGATGGAATTTATCTCCATTAGTGACAAAGACAACTGCATGGATTGGTCAGAAGAGTTGTATCTAGGGGAGTTCAATGATCTCTTTATATGCGGTTTGTACACCAATGAGCCAATTTTTCCAGGTCACACAAACTGCAAATCAAACTCACCTGCGAATTCATCTAGTGATCAAGCAGAGAGGAATATTCTCCAGGTACTGGTGGATTCACTCGATGTATATTCATAGCATGTCTGAAATAATCCTTTTTTAATCTTTTCATTTTGTATGGCCTATGAACAGCTAAACCTGCCATTTTTTTCATTTTGTATATTCATAACTACTACACCTGTCTTCTCCCACCCTAATTTATTGTGCTTGTTTTCTTTTTTCACCCATCTCAAAATTTGTGTGCTTGTTTTTATGGAAAGAAACATGTGGTTTGAAGTGTTTCTCTCCTGTGCGATCAAACTGGGCACATTAAATTGGGAATTCGGACGGAGAGAATATATAATTTGGTCTAAGAACAAGAATGTTTGTTTCTTTCCTCTTTCCTAATTTATTCAAAGCCAATTGTTTATGTCTGCTAAAAAACAAAACTTAAAAGGAGCAATAGCAGATGGCTAAAACTAAACATAAAGAATTCAATCAGAAAAATAATCTGCTAAAAATAGCTAACAAGGGGTCAAATTGCAGGTATACTTGACAACATGGCTCGCAGAAGTGAAAATTGACAGACACAGGTAATAAATAAAGAGAAGTATGGAATCTGTGGGCGGTTTTCTTCAAAATGTGTACATCTTACAAATTTGTCATTTGCCATAACCTATCATCTACACTTGTTTCTTTCAGGATTGATGAAATATTCTCTATAGTAGGAGAGGAAATGCATGTCAGTCTCACCTGAAGTTGCTAGCTCCCATGGAGGAATCTGAGAGCTTAGAAACTATGGCCTTGTTTGGGAACAACTTTTTCCGTTGGCGTTTTGGATATAAAACAAAAATTGGGCACCAAGAGTAGTTGATTTGAACACAAGAATGTGACAATATATTCTCTATTCCTTTCAGCATCACATTGCTTTGTTCAGCCTTGATGTTCTTCACGGCCGGCATTTGATTTGCAGGAAGTAGTTCTGAGCAGGTAGGAACAGTGTTGAGACAATAATCTTAGGTTATGTTTGGTACGACTCATACGTGTAATGTAATGATTATCACATATATATATATGTTGTATTGAGTTAACTTTGTTTGGTTTTACATTATAGTAGTGAAATCATAAAAACAAATGTATAGCCTTTTGCTTCAAAAAATCTGTCTAGTTTTATTTATCTTTCTTGATCATCTTGCTCGTTGTCGTTTAAATACGCGGGTTTGAGATATGTATATGTTTACCGATTCGTTTTTCATTTGCAAATTATGATGGCTTCTCGGAAGCAAGTGCCTCAAAAAGGTTCTAGATTTGTTAGAAATGGAGATACGCATTTGGTTATTCTATTGATCCATTAATATATATATATATATATATAATGCTTTTTATGGAGTTTAAAAAATGTTGAAAAGTGAAAATAGTGTAGTTAGAATTTGTTAAACAGATAAATTTTTCTAAACTGCTTATTTTTTTCTTAAACAAAGTGGTTTTATTTAGGACAAACAAACGAAACAGAAAAGAAACCATTGACAAAGGGAGTAATTTTCAATTTGTGCCATAACATTAGGAGCACAAGAAATTAAAATGGGAAAAAGTATAGCAAAAGCTTTACAAGAAACTAAAAAAGATAGAAATAAAATAGAAATACCACAAAATGAAAAGTTTAATTCAAAAATAGAAAATAAAAGAATTAAAAAAAACAACTAAACCTAACAATGTAAGTGGATATCTCATTGCCTTACATTAAAATCTTGTGTTCCATCATGTAGTCCTTTACATTACATTATATATTTACAAACACATAACGTATTGGATTTAGCAACCCTATTTAAGTATACATATATCTTCTGTTCTCTAAATCCAAATTAACCATTTTTGGGAGCTTGTTTTTTTTTGCGGAGTACTACCAAAGAACAACACTTGCCCCAACATTAAATCTAGTAAAAAGATGAAGCCAATGGGGTTGTCAGAAGCACATCATACTTGTGTACTTATTTAGGCACCAGCAACCAACTTGTTTAAATTTTAAAATAAATGTTTTCTTGCACTATTCCAAAAAAAAAAAACTAAAACATAACATGCTGTGCAATAAAACAAGAAATTCAACAGTTGCAAAAGATGATAAATACTCCCCTCATGTTTCTAACAAACACCTGGCTTGGTCATTGTCATATGCTGCTTGCTTCTTTCAACACAACAAAGATTCTGTCCTGCCGATGAGCCGCCTTCAAGATGTCTTTTTTACCCTTTCAAGTGAAAAATATACCAAAACTGCCAGTTCTGCTGCTTGGTGTCGTGAATGATAATGAACTTTTTTTACCAATAGTCACCGCAAGAGCACTTCCCATCCTTGAAGTGATGAAAGCGCTTGTTGTCCCTAACAATCAGCTCCCTCCCAACAATTCTGGACATGATCTTGATGGCATTATGACAGTCGCCGCAGACGCGCAAATTCTTGATGATACGCAAAGGCATCCTAGCAGGGGTACTGATCAGACCATACGCAATGGCCAAACGCTCACTGTGATAAAGCAATGCCTGTTCCTTTGCCTCTTGATCTATATCGTGAAGGACGTATCTGGTGTCTGGCACATACACCTGCTCTTTCATTGCAGCCCGCATTTTCTCCTCATCTTTGTACAGAGTGGGACTGCGAAATTCGACCACCCTACTTTTCCCCTCAAGCATATTGACCGGTTGTTTCTTTGGAGGCGGCGGGAGGATCTTACCACCCTCAAGAGGCTGACCGGTTGCATCCCTCCATAGCTGCTCAGCACGGTCTTCAAGGTCAATGTCTCCATGTATCCGAGCATAATTCATCAATGCCTCCCAAACAGCACCAGTGGGCTCGAAAGGGAGTTTCTGGATGAAGTCCTCAGCCTCTGCGAGGTGACCACATTTTGCAAAAACACCCAACAGCCCCAGATAGTGATCGATTGTGGGCGAGATTCCATGTTCGATCTTCATGGACTCAAAGTGTAGGAATGCCTCATCTATTGCATCGGCACTGGCACAAGCCTCGAAAACAGCAAGGAAAGTCTGGTCATTGGGCTGAATCCCGTGTGTCCTCATCTGCTCATACAATGACAGCCCGTCATCACCCAACCCGTTCCATGCATACCCGTTGATCATCAGGTGCCAAGTGTCTATATTCCTATCAGGCATGTGATCAAACACCCTCCGTGCATCCACCATGCTCCAACACTTTGAATACATGTCAATGACCTTATTGTTTAAGAGAAGATCACTCCTGCATTTTGATCTCAAAAAGTGGTCATGAACTGATTTTGCATCCTCAAGTTTTCCTGCCTTTCCACAAGCCTCGAAAAGTAAAGCAAAACACTGCATGTCCGCAACAACACCCTTTTCCATCAATTCAATGGCATCCTTCACCTTACGACCACCTTCTTGGCACAATGACATCAAGTCAGCAGTAGATAAAGTATCACCAGAGGATGAAGTATTATTATGTGTAGCAGAATTGCCACAAACAAGTTGGGCATTTCGAGGTTGCTGAGGACTCAATCGTTCCTGAGGTGCAAAGGTCCCACTCTCAGGGGGCATGTCATTTCGGATCTGGTTATTCCGCCCATGTCCCCCTCCGTATTGATGGTGAATACCACCATAGGATGCATTATGATATGTAGCACGATCACCACCAACAGGCTGGACATTCGGCCTCCATCGTTCTTGAGGTACAGCTGTACCACTCTGCGGGAGCATGTCCTTCCATTTCTGATTGTTCATCCCTTGTCCACCTCCGTAGGGTTGACTGATGACACCAGGGGGTGATGCACCCTTATATGCAGCATGATCACCGCCAACAGGCTGGACATTCTGAGATTGCTGAGGACTCCATTGTTCCTGAGCTACAAAGGTACCACTCTCCAGGGGCATGCCAGTTTGGACCTGAATATTCTGCCCCTGCCCACCTCCATATTGGTTATGGATACCACCAGGGGACGTATTATTATATGTAGCACGATCACCACCAACAGAGTGGACATTCTGCCTCCATCTGTCCTGAGCACCAGCTGCACCACTCTCCGGGGGCATGTCATTCCGGATCTGATTATTCCACCCATGTCCACCTCCATATTGTTGATGGTTACTCTGGTTCGGATTTTGATAATTCGGATACCCTCCTTGTGGGTAGTTCTGAAAAGAGTTATCAATGGCGGTTGACATATTCCGCCATTGGCGTTTGAAGGCTACCTCACTACAAAGATAAGCCCTGGTAGCTAGCATACATGTGGCAGTGCCATTTGTACGCCATCTCCACGCCATATTGCCATACATGAGATTTCCCTTCTGTCACACACAAAAGGAAACAGATTCGTCAATCCCTAATGTCCCAAATTTAGAAGTGAGAAAATTAACTAAAACTGAAAGCAAATGAATTTGCACTAATAATCTAAAAATTTCAAGAACAAAAACCACTTCTCTGTTTTTATAGGGACAAGACCACATACATCTTGACCCTGGACCCCAACAACGTTGGGATTATACCAAGTAGCAAATAGTAGTTGTAATATAAAAATTTCAATATTATTTATGATGCAACGAGGCAAGAAATGTTCTCGGGGTCACTAATTGCTTCTTTGGCTCACAAATTATACTGTGTATACCGGAGCATCTATAATCCATAAGCATTAGTGCTACAGTGCTACCAACCAAATAAAAAACAGAAAGTGCTAGTGAAGTAGTAAAAATTCTCTGTCATTAAGTTTTACAGTTGAGTCTTATTTAACAAAAAAAAAAACATATTTTTGAATTTTAATATGCTCCAGCTGAGTCAAACAAGCAGTGGTTATAGTTAGAGGTTAAAACTTTTCAACTCCTGTGGGGACTGTTGCCTGCCAGTTTCACAATTTCATCTAAATAATGCATATGCTGGCGTATGGCTTTCTACAACAACAACAACAACAACCCAGTTGAATCCCACTACAGTAGGGTCTGGTGAGGGTGTGTGTACGCAGACCTTGCCCCTACTCGGGTTTCTACTGCACATAAATTGTTCCAAACATCATCCTTATGGAGTTTGAAAACCATGGACATAATCATTCTGCCGCAAATGGAAACATATACTCCGTAAAATCGCAAAAATGAAAGAATATAACAAACCAAACGTTTATCCGAACGCAAAAGTAAGATCAATAAAGTGGTGCCTCATGCGCATATTTAAAAAAAAAACAGAGCTCCTAGAAAATTTTAAGAGCCTTGTTTCGAATTTGGAATACCGGCGATAGATCTTAAAATAAATTAACTGATGATAAAAGGCATCTAGTGATTCTGTTCGATAGCAGGCTGGAAATTGAAGCAGAGAAGACTGAAAATGAATCGTAGAAGAAGAAGAAGAAATAAGACCTGTACTGGATTGGATATGGAAGAACGGAGAATCGTCGAATTGGAGGCCAGAGACGAAAGGGAGCTTCTGAAATCGTGCGATTTCTGCCCTGGCCCTGGTCTTCTTCAGTCGAAATGAGGAAGGTAAAGTTTAGGCCCATATATGCTGACGGGTCCAATAAGTAATTACATGAATTTTGTAAACTTAGGCCCATATATGCTGACAGGCCCATTATGCTTCATCCCAATTTAAATTGCATGTTATTACTATGAGGTTTGACTAAAATTGTTTCAATTTAATTTATTTAAAATTAGTATGAAATAAAAATAAATAAATTTATATATTTAGAAACTACATAAAGAATTTCATAAAATAAGAGGTGCGAAAACTTAATATTTTCTCAAATTGATAACAAAAATGAGTAAAACACATAATTAATGATTGACTTTGGTGAATAGTAAACAAATAACTTAAAACTGGGACCGATGAAGTATTTAATTTGAGATCTTGTTCAATTCAGAGTTTGATTTTTTTGAAGAAAAAAAAAATTAGTTCAATTTGATTTTTTTCTTCAGGTTTGTGTTGCTCTCATTCTAAAGCATATATCCATCAAGTTTATTTTTTTGATGAGTAATTTCCATAAATGGTTCCTAATTATAGATAGTTTCTCATATTTAGTTCCCAGTTCGTGGATATTCTATAAACGGACATCAATTTTTGAAACTATTCCATAATCTGTCTTTCAAGGACTATCAACGAAAAAAATATTTTCTCATATTTGGCCTAAAGACCTATTTTTGAAATA